CAAAAGTTGTCATGATGTTTACACTGTAGTTGTCATAGTGTTTACCCTAAAGTTGCCATGTGTCAATTTTAGATATAGATCATGGCAATTTTAGTATTTTGACCATGGCAATTCCAGTACTTTGATCATGGAAATTATTTTTTGTATGAACCATGGCAATTTTAAGTGCATGTATCATGGCAATTTTAGTTTGTGTTTCATGGTAAGTCTAGTTTCTTAATTCCCCGTTTTATAATATGTCAAAATTTACTTTTAAAGGTAGAAAAAATATCTGAAACATATCATGGCAACTTCAGTATAAACACCATGGCAATTCATGTGCAATAGACATGACAACTTTTAACCAAAAAAAAAGCCGTCGAATCATTTTGACATGAGGTCTAGTTTTGAAGATCTCGTCGCGATGGATTTAATGGTGAAAATAGATCTTCAATCGGATTTTTCATTTAAAAGATAAAACATTTTAAAAACTGGAAATCCAAAAAAATTCCCACATGCATGTGGCGCAATCTGTGTGTTATAGGGTGTGTGGGCGGGTGTTGCTCCCATCACACGTGTGACCGTTATCAGCGTCCATCTAAAAATAATGCCTGCCAATTTAAAAAAATGTTGTACTTTTTTGCAGGGAAAAAATGTTGTACATTGCCTAAAAAACTCCAAATTACTAATTAAGAAGCACTCTACACAAAGGTCACTCCCACCTAGGTAGGTTCCGATAAGTGGTGGCTGCATGTGCGTTATTTGTCGCAACCTGCGAGTTTTTCTTTTTTTCGTATGTCCGTTTATTCAAAACGTTTTACCTTTAAACCGTGGGTCCAAATCTCAAATAGTTTTACCATCGGATTATTCGCATCAAGATCTTCAAAACTAGATCTCGTGTTGAGAGGTTTTGACAAAAAAATCACGAAAAAAACCAGACAAGAAAAACCAAACAGGGAACATGTTCTTTTTTCCTTGCGGAGTAGAAGCAAATCCGTGCCTCCACGAGAGGTAAATGTGTACCTCTCGTGGAAGGAAGAAAAGTCATTTTTTTCGTTTACGAGAGGCACGACTATGCCTCTCGCGGAAGCAAATCTGTGCCTCGGGCAGAAGCAAATCTGGAAGCTAATCTGTGTCTCTCGCAGAAGGAAAAAAAAGGAAATGCATATTTTTTCTGTTTCCAAGAGGCATGACTATGCACCTCGCGGAAACAAATCTGTGCCTCTCGCAGAAAGAAAAAAACATGTTTTTTTTCGTTTCCGAGAGACACGACTGTACCTCTCGCAGAAGGAAAAAAATGCGTTTTTTTCCGTTTTCGAGCGGCACGATTATGCCTCTCTCGGAAGCAAATTCGTGCCTCTCTCGAAAGAAGGGAAAAAAATTATAAAACATGTTTTCCACGCAAAAAAAACGGGGGAAGACAAAAAACCCCAGAAAAGAAACTATCTAAAAAGCCAAAAACACGTGCAAAAAAATAAAAAAAAATAAAAATCAAAGAGAGCGCCTAGAGCGCGACATGTGGCGGCGACACTTGCGCTCTCAGCCGCCCCAACTGACCCTTACGGGCAACGGAAGGAGTACTCCTTTGTTAGTTGCTCCTAAAAAATAGCTACCTATACAAAACAGGTGCCCCTATGAAATTTCATGTGCATTTTGCAAACAGGTGCCTAAAACCGTTCAAGCTGGGTCGGCTCATATACTTTTCTTCTTCTTTTGTTTAAACCACTCCAAAAAAGATGCGGGCGATAGGATCCAAACCCGAATGTTCCAAGACAACAACACTAAATACTAGGCTAGACGACTTCGTACATTCTTGCTTTTGTCTACCATTTACCACATGTACAATATAATACCTTAGGAGCTGTCACATAGATAGATAAATGATGAGGTGGAGGAGAAAGAATTCATAAAAAAGGCTTATCTTTTTTTATTTAAGAGATGATCTCTTAGCACAATATATCTGACTATATTTTTAAGAATAACTAGTTATTGTAGATAAGGCTAAGAGATATTTTTATTATGCTAAGTGATAATTCATTGTAGACATATTTTTATTGTCATCACTAAATTGCATGCAAGGTTTAAGATAATATAGTCTTATCAACCACTGTACATGCCCTTATTATCATACTCGGTTTTCCCAGTCCAATGTTCAGTTTCCGCACATTTTTATTCCACTATTCAGTTTCCACGCATTTTTATTTATTTTTTCTTGTTCTTCCTTTATTGTTAAATGCACCGATTATTTTCTGAAAATTTATGGATTTTTTTTTCAAATTTGATGAACTTTTTATTAAAAGATGATGAACTTTTCTTTTCAAATTCGATGAACCTTATTCAGATTCGGTGATACGACGATTTTTTTTCAAATTCGATGAACTTTTTTTCGAATTCTCGAACTTTTTGAAAATTTGAGAACATTTTTAAAAAATTTATGGAGTTTTTTCATAAAAATCAAATTTACAATTTTAAAAAAATCTAAGTGCTACTGTGTAATAATTAATAAATAGCATGGCTACGATGGTTCTTAAATAGTTTGCATTGTTGTCAATCACTAGCGTAGTGGTTCGCTAACCAATTCCTACATTATTGCGGCGCGAGTTCGAGTTCTCTTATGTGCACTTTTTTGCTGTGTTTTTTGCAAGAAGAAGCGAAAGAAAACTGGTGAAAACAAAGAAAAGAAAAAAACGGGAATAAATGAAGATTTTTTTAAAAAAAAGAAAAACCGGAGAACTAATGATAAAACAAGATTTTTTTTTGAAAAAGATAGCAAAACCAGCAAAGGAAGCTCAGGTAGCTAAGGAATTCGATCGAAAACCAGTCTATCGAATGAGCGAACAAAGCGCAACAAGCGTTCGCGAATGGAAAAAAGCAAAATTGGGCTGGCCCGATAACTTCATCGTTGTGGAAAGATCTTCAGCGAGTCAGGAGGGACTCTCGCATAAAGCGAGAAATAGTCGTCGCGGTACAAAACACGGTCTGGTTCAGCCGTGAGAAGAGAGGATTGTCAAAAATAAGCTCATCTAGGTTTTTTCCTTTAGAATGAAGCCCAACTAGTTCTTAGTTCTGTTTGCGGTGATATATGTTGTGGGGACAACTACATTTTTCCCAATAATCTATTACCTACTAATAAGCGAAATAGGTATTCTTGGTCCGTCACACTATTTTGCATAAAACTCCCTCATGTTTCTGGTAGTCAACCACTTTGAAGTCTGATTTTGGCTTTTTCAGAAAATTCCATGGTATTTCTGTTAATCAACCCCACGCCACTTTTAAGTCAGATTTTCATGTTTGCAGAAATCCCCTTGATATTTGGGTTAATCAAACCGTAATACATATCAAATGTTTTTTTTAATATTCATATCTTCTAAATCCTAACTTTAAATTGAACATGTTGTATGTATAATTTGATTAGAAAAATATGTATAATTAATATGAATATGTTGTTATTTTACCTATTAACCATTTAAAAAAATGCTATTTAGAGTGCAACCTTCATCAATAGTGCATGATCCTTCTTTGTTTCATACCAGTGCCGATCCGGATTGAAAATAGACACCTCGGCAAAACCAGGATGAGAAACGAGAAGAACATATATAACCACGCAAGCATGTCGCGCTAAATCTCATAGAAAAAATGCAGATTTATCACCATATGCCGAGAGAGAGATGTTTTAGGATTGACAACATTCAAACATGTTGTCATTGTGTGAACATTGAGGCATAATCGACGAGGTGGGAAGGAGGTGAGTGAGAACCAGATGAAATGTCATGTGTTGAAATAAAATACTAGACCTATTGGAGTATGGACTTATGGTTATTGGGTTAGGGGAGTATGGTATTTCTTTCATCTGTTGCTAGACTCACGTAAGTTTGTTACATATCCTACGTAAACTTCCTTTCCGAACAAAAGTTCTGGGTAGCTAGAGGAGCCATGCGGGACACTTGATGCACTGGCACACCAAGCTTTATGGGGGCAATTTAACGCATTAAGCGATGGATAGGATTTCTCCAAAAGACTCTCAACATGATTACACTGTAATATATTCCACGTGTTGCTACAAAATCGGTTGCAATATATCTCAATGAGATTTGGTCATATGCAATATTTACATTAATAATATATGAACTAAAACTAAAATACATATTATATATTGTATTTGATTATTGTATAATTGAAGTATATTTATAGAATATAGGTAGTAGTATTATGTATTCTAGTGACATGTGTGGTGAGGTGGAATGTGTGCATATTGAGATAAATATAAGTAGTGGGGACCAACTAATCATGAAAAACTTTCTCCATACATGTAGTGATGGGCCTTTGATAATGTGGCATGTGTGCATATCAAGCTAAAACTAGTAGTGATGATCGACTATTTAGGTATATAGCATTAGTTCAAAAAAAATGTTTACACTACATAAATATCATTTTTGGATCGGACTAGGGCCTAAAACAATTAGATGAAACCAATCAACTATGTGCGTACCATGCCTCCAGTGAAGTAAACTAGCAAGTTATAAAAGCCTTTTATTATAATTTGCAGGGGAGTTTAATCCCTAGGGCATATAGGGTGAAACTTCAGCGACCTGTTTCAAACATATACTATTTTCAAAAGAAGTAACAAGCCATACATAAGTTTTTCTTTCTTTCTTTCCGAGAACAACCATACATGAAGATGTACTAGCAAGTATGTTATGTGTTGTTGCAGATAAATAACAGACTTAATTAAGCTCCACCAATATTAAGTTATTATTGAACAAAGAAAAATTTGTAAAAAATTGTTGGGTTCACTATGTTCCAAACACTCGCACTACATCAAATTGAAATACAGAAGACAATTTAGCTCTTTGTTGATACTCCTTGGGTAACAGTCATACATCCTGACTGAAAGAAGGCACACTTGTTCTTCATCGCATTCAAAAGATAATAATGTCATATGCCATGTAGTAAAACATGAAGACCTGATGAAACTTTTCCAAAGTATATACTGTGTGCGGGACAAATATCCCGTACAATATTTACTTGCTAGGTGCATCTCTACTAGGATCCATCTCTGCTTCTACCTCTTCCTTGGTCTGTATTTTGATGGGTTCCTCAGCATAGTGTGAAATGGATTTGTATTGATAGTAGTGGGAGCATATGAGAAAGTAGAAAAGGTTCAGTACTCCCATAAGGGCAATTAAATAAAAGTAATAGTCAAGCTTGCCGAGATTAATATCGTCTGCGATCCAGCTATTGTGGCCATCTCTGGTAGTCACTTTTTTTGTTATGTTTGTCATAGCAGTACTCAAATAGCCTGCTCCAGCCAAAGTAACATAAAAGAGGGATCCTGCTAGGGTTAGCATCTGCTCTGGAAACTGCTTATTATAGAATTCGAATTGACCAACTGCATTGAAGGCATCAGCAATACCCATTAAAATCAGTTGGGGGGCGAGCCAAAAGACTGACATAGGTGATTTTCCTCCATTAGACAATGCCGAGTTTCTCCTTTTGTGTTCAACAAGCCCTGCTACCACCATTGATATGGGAGAAATCACCAATCCTATACCCTGTCTCTGAAGAAGTGTAATTCCACTTTCCACTCCGGTGAATCTTCTAGCTATAGGTACCAATATTTGGTCATAAATTGGTAGGAATGCAGTTAGGGCGATAAAGGATATGGATATAACAGAGCCTGGAGGGATTTCGAAATGTGTTCCAAGGTGACAGTCCATTGTTAATGCTTGAAAGCTTGTAGAGGTGTATTGTTGAACCAACGCGACGAAGCATACGATGCCAGATATACAAATAGGAACAATTCTTATCAAACATTTAACCTCTTCTATCTGTTGGATACTGCAAAGCTCCCACGAATTTCTTGCGGAACCATCATCATTTATATCACCATCCCTTAAAATCGCACCTTTGTTAAGAAACCTGAGAACAAATGACAATAAATGGTGGGTATACATTAGCATCTAGCATATAATTATTTCAAATTATTAATATTTTGTTTTGTATGCCTAACACGTTATTTATATTATAAGAATGCAATTTTGCTCACTTTACTTGCAACAATATGGCTTACTTTTACCAATATTGAATTCTACATGCTTTTAGCAAGTACTCCGTTTGTAAACAAATATGATTGCTTAGATGACTAGTGATCTGAACGATCTTGTATATTTTTTAGGGAGCGAGCACTCTACATGGATGTTAAGCATATATAAACACTCTCGCAAGCGACTTGGTAAATAGTTGTTTAATGATGTTGTCAAGGCGTACAAGACACTATACTAAGGTAGGATATAGTCCCTCAAAAGGATATACATTGTATTATTCTAACCCCTAGTTGTACAGGTCCTCGAACTTGTTAGATGTTGGTAATAAGTTATTGAGAAAAATTAACAACAAAATTTGATTATTCATTTTTTCCTTTGGAAAAACCTGGGAATTTTGGAATGGGATGGTATCAAATGTTATTTTTGTGGATGTGTTGCGATACTTCCACCGTGTCTACTTTTTATTGATAAACACTGTGGTTACTTGTTTAGTTTACCTGAACTGGGAAGTAAGTGGCAATCTGAAAATACGATGGCCCCTCGTGGGAGGGTTGAATAGCAACAACTCTTGCTGACTTATATTGTCCGAGTTTGGAAGCTTGACTCTTCTCTTTTTAAATGATGCTAGTAAAACTTGGGCAATTCCAGTGAAGATGCTTCCCTCTGGTGGTACATGGACATAAAGTCTAGTACCCATAAATAAAATGATAATTGACAACAACATGAAGAATGCTGGTATGCCAAATCCTATTGGCCAGCTGATGGTAGCCTGAATGTAGACGAGAATAGTCATAGAAAACACCAAGCCAATGGTAGTTGTGCCATAGTACCAGTTATAATAGCTATTTAGGCCTTTTTGACTATTTTTGTCAGTCATGTCGAATTGGTCTACTCCAAAGGGCAAGCTGCATGGTCGGATTGCTCCACCGCCAATGATTAGAAATGCTAAAGATAGGTATAGCACACTCAGCTGGAGTGTTGATGGACTATTGCAATGTTCACCTAATTGAATTGTTTGATTGCAGTCTGCAAGTTTGAAAGCTGGAACTGATGCAGACAAAGTTAATCCTAGCATTCCCTGTTGTAGCACAAAATAAATTCGTGTATTAGACTATGGGAAATGAAAACATATTAGTTAATGTGATTTGCGAATATCATGTAGGAAATTTAGTATAGTTGTTCAAAAAAAATTTAGTTTGTGATAGTAATTGCTTAGAACAACTAACCAAGTAAATAAATTTCATGTGCTAATGCATCAAGTTTTGTTTTGGTAATAAGCAGATAAATTGTTCATCATTGACTCATGTTCTATGGACATGCCATTTGTCATATTAATCAATCAACAACTTTGGTTATTCCATCCATTTGTTAGACTTATTTTGACAATGATGACTAATCTCGCGTTTGCTTCAAATTGGATGTGGAAAGATTCAATCATGGTGTCATTCTTTGATACCTAAAGGCCTAATGATCCTACGATTAGTAATTTCAGACCCATATGTTTTTCTCTAATGTGAGTTATAAAATATTCTCAAAAGTTGTAGCAAAAAGGTCGGGTTTGATAATTCAGAAAGTGATTTTTGATTCCCAAACATGCTTCTTGAGTGGTAGTTACGTAGTATAAGGTGTTGTTGTGCTTCATGAAGTCTGTAGGTAGAAACAAAGTGGGATTCTGCTGATAATTTACTTTTAGAAAGAAATATGACAAGGTCAAATGGCCTTTTCTATATCAATTAATGTAAGCTAAAGGTTTTGGTCATAAATGGTGTTACTAGATGATGAAACTTGTAGGTGGTGGTAGGGTGACAATTAAAGTAAATGATACGATTGGGCCCTACCCCCAGCTTACACAGGAATGAGATAGCTAGGGAGGTCCGTTGCCACGTTAGTTGTTTGATATCATTGTTGATGGACAGGTAATGCTCACAACAAGAGTAGATGAAATGGTTGACTTGAGAACTTGTTCCTTATATGGGGGATAATGGGTTAGCTATTTTACAATATGCTGAAAATGCCAATTCTTCCAGATGATGATTTTGAGAGTGCGGAGAACTTAAAGTTCATCTTGTGCATATTTGAACAAGTCTCATGGCTTAATTTTTTTTCACAAAAGTGAGATTTATTGCCTGGGAGATGTTACAAATAAAAAATATGCCTATAGTGATATCATCATTTGCAATGTGGGGAAGCTACATTTTCAATACTTGTGCATGCCAGTTGATAACAAAAGATTCAACAATTATTAATGGATCCATGTTGAAGAAACTATTGAGAAAAAATGCGTAATTGGAAAAAGGGAATTCTTTCTATTGGTGACATGGGTACTTGATTAATGCTTGTCTAAGAAACATTCTTCTATATATTCCCACCTTGTTGGAAGTTCGAAAAGTACTAGAGAAGATATGGGACCATCATAGAGCTATAATGATACAATAAGAAACTAAAGTGCTAAAGAAATATCATCTTGTCGACTGGCCTTCTATCAGCTCGCCTAAGGAATGTGGAGGATTTGGTATTCTAGATTTAAAAATAATCAATGATAACTTGTTATCCAAGTGGATCTAGAAACTAGAGACGACGACAAGAAGATGGCAACATGCTCGTACAGAAAATATTTGCGGAGGCATACTTTGTCTCATATGGAGATAAAGCTTATGTGGGCCATGTTTTTAGCAATTGGGGTTAATCACATCTTCCAACAAACACAAGAAGATTGGTTGTTAATAGTGCAAGAACACTCTTTTGGGAAGATTAATGGATAAAAGGAGGACCTTTGTACCTCAAATTTCCAAAACTATACAATGTTACCTTCTCAAAAGAGAATAAGTTCAGAATGACTATGCTGGGGGAATTGGGAAAATTTCACAAGGTCGCTCTGAATGCCAGGGAGGATATAGTGGTTTGGAAACTAGATTTACGAAAATTCACTCTGAGATCCCTTTATCTGCAGTTCAGAGGAAATGGGATGGTACACTACAAATAATTTTGGAAGTTGGAAATACCCTTGAAGATCATAATTTACCTTTGGCTACTACTAAAAAGGATCATCTTAAAGATTAAGAGAACTCCTATTGGAGTGTCATATCTATTAGGAATTTATTTGTGGATTGGATACATCTTTTCCTAAAGAACAAAGAAGCTTGATTCTTAGTGGGGGCTCTTGCAATGTGCTAGGCAATTTGGAAAACTAGAAAAAATGCTTGTTTTAGCAATAAATTTCTTAATGATCTTGCTGGTGAGTGTTCTACTTATGCAATTTCATTTCCTTTTGGGCGTTTGTTCAAAAGGGACAAGGCAGACAATTATTCAAAGAAGGTGTCCAAATGATCAAAGACGTGATCTGGGAGGAGTAGGTGTGAAGGCATTTATGGGCACAAGTGGCTAGGAGAATTGAAGGGCGGATGCTATCTTTTAGTATTGTTTCCACATGATTAAGTTTTGTGTATTTGTGCTTTTTGGAGTTTTTCTATTGCTAGTGGCTTGCTGCAAGATTTTGCTGGCTAGCTGGCTGGCTAGGAGGCCGGCGATGTTTTACGTAAATCTTTTAAGGTAGCTCTAGGGGTGTTTGGTGGATGCCCAAACACATGCACATAGTTCCTTGGTGGCTGATTTTTTCTACTCTTTTGTATTTTGACCGTTTTGTAAAACATCTAGTGGTTTCTTTAATGGAAATCAACGGGAGGCCAGTTATCCCAATAAAAAAAATTATATTCCTTTTTGCTAATACAAGAAGGTGAAACAGAGCTGATAAACAAGCTTTGACCGTGGCACAGACATACCAGGAGGCTAAAGAAGGACCCGTAGACAAGGGTTCTGAACCTTCCCAAGTAGGCGTCGGAGATGAAGGCACCTAGCAACGGTGCGAAGTTCAGCGTGCCGAAGAAAATGCTGGTAGTGTTTGTAGCTGTGAGCTGCCCAAAATTGAAGCGCTTCACAAGATAGATCGTCAAATTTGCTACCACCCCAAGTGACCCGACATTCTCAAATGTAGCGATTGCTGCATAGGAACAAAATGTTAGACACTCATTTATGTAGATGTCGCCCTCAAGATCAATCACATTAAAGTAGACAAATACACATGCACAAAACTTTTGCAAAGGGCTGGTATCATGCCCTTTGTTCTTTTATTCTCAATGTCTCAACTCACCGTACAAAACTCAAGTAACCTCACGTGTATATCTATTATAAGATACTAAGAGCATCTCCACTCGCCTCCCAATAGGCCCCTTTTTATCGTCGGCGTGAAAAAATGGCCCAGCCGCGCCTCTAGAAGCCCACTTTTCAGCGGTTAGGTCCGAATTTGGCGCCGACGGACCCAGGCCGAACCCGGCGCGCTAGGGGGCCCCGAGGGCACCTGGGGAAACATTTTTGGCGCGAAATCTTGGTGGACCCGCCGAGTCAGTGACTAGGCATGTTTGTCGTCCTCATCGCCTCTTTTTCCCGTGGGGAATCAATGCGAAGGCTGTCGCTGGTCAGCCTTCCATTGATTCCTCATGGGCGGCGCAGTGAAGGCGTGCGACGCGCGTCCTGCCCCCTCCCGCCACGCGTACACATGGCTGCCGCCCACTCGCCGCCCACCTGTCGCTATAAAAGCCGCCCCTCCCTCGCCGGTGACCACACACTCCCTCGCCACAGCCCCTTCTCCTCTCGCCGGTGACGCCCCTCTCGCCGGCGACGCCCCTCTTGCCCTCTCGCCACCGACGCCCCCACTCCCCTCTCTCCCCTCCGACAACCATGGCCGAGCGCTACCCCGGCAAATGAGAGGCGTCCAACGGTTTCGGCCGCCGCCACCTGCACGACGACGAGGCCCGCCTCCTCTACGAGGCAGACTACACAGCACCGCTGGACATGCAAGTGCCGGACTCGTGGAGGCTGAGAGCCGGCGGAGTCCCCGTGCCACCGCCGCCCTCTCGTGCTAACCGGCGCGCCGAGATCACGCGCATCAGATTGTCGCTGTCGAAGAGCACGCGGAACCAACCGATGTACGCCCCCGACAGCCACACGCTATGGACGACATACTTTGACTGCCGCCACGCCGACCAGCTTGCCGCCACGAACGACATTGAACCCCGCGGCCGCCTCAACTCCGAGGGGCGGCACCAATGGTGGGGCATTCTCGGGCGCACGCTCGACGACGTCCTTGAGCACATCGAGGCCAGCAACGCGCCACAGTTGGCGTACCAGATGCCCCCTCCTTCTCTCGCCGCCGCGACAGTTCCTGGAAGCCGAGGCGCATGGAGACGGCGTCCTCATCCTCGTCGGGCCCTCTATCCTTCGGGTCGTCGGCGCTCCTCCCCGCCAAGCTGGAGCCGCGAGAGACGCCGCTAAGGCGGCATACGCGCGGAGGGTGGCGTCCCTTCTCCTTCGGTCTCCTCCTCCCGCCTCGTCAAGCCGAAGACCGAGCCGGCGCTCCTCCCCATGAAGAAGGAACATGAGGCCATGGCCGCCGACAAGGAGACCGGCCTGAAATGGGCGCTGGACGACTACGTCCGGCAGGAGATGGAGCGCCAGCGCTGCGCCCTCGAGGAGATCGCCACCCGGCGCCGCGGCCACGACGAGGGCGACATCGTCATCCTCGACAACAGTGACGACGAGGCGCCCGGGCCGTCCAACCCCCCACGCGTCAGCGACGCGGGTCAAGGGTGCATCAAGGACGGAGGCGTTGTGCAGGATGGTGGCGGCGACGACGGCGATGACTATACCAACTTTTACAGGCTCCTCAGCATGTAGAAGGCTCAAGGCGGTGCAGCGGGCGGCCGCGTAGTAGTAGTAGTAGTAGTAGTAGTAGTAGTAGTAGTAGTAGTAGTAGTAGTAGTAGTAGTTGTTGTTGTTGTTTTTAGTTTGTTTTTAAATTATGTTTTTAATTTGACAAATATCAATGAAATGCCTAAATTTCCTCCAAATTTCTGTCGTGTTTGGCCGAATTTGATTTTTTTAAAATAGCGTCTGGGGCGACCTTGAGGCGGCGGTTGGGAAACTGACCGCCCCTACGCGCATTTTATCGTCGGTTGGCCCCCAGGGGGCGCTATTTCAAGCCCCTGGAGGGCCGAACGGCTGGAGATGCTCTAAGCTCCCTAGATTTGAAGCAATATGGTGCATAGGGGGCCATGGGAATGCTATGAACCCCACGTGTAAGGGTGTGTATCGGTGTGGCGGTCAGTTTGAGAAGGTATTGCCTGATTATTTTTATTTTTTCTTTCTTTTTGTGTTCTTCACATGTTTTAATAATTTTTCTTTTGTTTTTTTCCTGTTATTTTTTTCGTGTTTTTGTTTATTGTTTCGTTTTATTTTTTTCACATGTTAATTCATGAGTATTTAGTAAAGTCTTGAACATTTAAGAAACTAAGAACATTTTTTGGAATTCAAATTTTTTTTACAATTTATGAATAATTTTAAAGTTCATGAATATTTTTAAAGTATGTGATTTTTTAAATCTGTGGATCTTTCTCAAATTCGCCAACATTATTTGACATCCATTATATTTTTTAAATTCATGTTTTTTAGTTCAAAACACATTTTAAAATCCATTTTTTAAAAAAATGAAAACTTCTTTTGATTTAATGAATTTTTAAAATAAAAAATATGTAGCCTGGTTTTCTGACCTTGCAATGGAATGAGCGAAAAAAAAACCTGAAGCTAGCAAGTGGAGCAGGGAGTTCGAGCCGAGCGAGCCAAAGCTTCATGGCCCGGCCCATGTGAGCATTGTTACAACATTTACACGGTTTCAATGTGAAATAAGAACTCTAGGTCCCACAACCACAGCGAAGCCGAAATGGGCGTAAGGACTCCAACCACGCATCTAACATCTCCACTCTCCCCAGAACGTATACAGTTTGCATCAACAACCCTACAAGATATATGGAAAAAAACTGCTAGGGCATAATTAAAACCCTTTTATTTGCGGGAAAAAAACACAAGCTAACGTAGACTACGATCCAAAACGAAACAACAGATAATACTCCGTCCGTCCCAAAATTCTTGTCTTAGATTTGTCTAGATACGGATGTATCAAGTCATGTTTTAGTATTAGATACATTCGTATCTAAACAAATTTAAGACAAGAATTATGGGACGGAGGGAGTAATAGCCAATTGAAGAACAAAAGGGTTAATCTTATGAATGAAGAATAATGCGGTGAAACGTGCATTAGCCTGTAGTATATACGAAGCCACGACCTGCTGCTAAGTACCTAAGTCTACACGAACTATCAAAGCTAGCAAGACCCGAGTCCATATGAAGCTCACGTACAAGCAAGCCTACTTACAATAGCTAACCAAACAGAATAATCCCTAGTCTGACACTGACAAGTACAATTACTATGGTAGTACTCCCTCCGTTCCTAAATATTTGTCTTTCTAAAGATTTCAACAAGTGACTACATACGGAGCATGAGTAAATCTACACTCTAAAATATGTCTATATACATCCATATGTGATGGCCATTTGAAATCTCTAAAATGACAAATATTTAGGAACGGAGGATTAACGCATAACCATCGACCCATTTCTTTGTAGAGTATAAAAATAGGTTTATTTTGAGTCTACTCATGTGAAGAACAATATCAACGTGCCGTACGGAGCTACTCCCTCCATCCCATAATATAAGAAGTTTTCACAAGCTATGTTAGCTTGCAAAACGTCCTATATTATGGGACAAAGGGAGTACTTTTCATGTGTTTAACCTGACTTTTGGTGTTGTACTCTTGAGTCTTAACTTCCGGCAGACCACTTGTGATACAAGGGTAGACGCACCTGAAAGTAAAAACCTGACTAAAGCCCCTGCTGTCCCTTCAACGGTTCAACCCAAGCAAAACTGACCTATTTTACGCTCATAAATGTATGTTAAGTTGTAAATTTGACAGTCTTGTAACTTTGATCCAGATAAAACGCACGCACGCACGCAAAGCAGGTAGAAATGAAAAAAACAAACCAGACCAGATCGAGAGATATGGAAATGAAATCTAGTAGTAGAAGTGAACTTGTGAAGCGTACCTAAGATGAAGGGCATGCACTTCCACCCCTGCGGCTTCCTCCTGCCGCCACCGCCGCCGGTGCCCCTCTCCAGCGCCCCACCTCTCACCTCCACCTCCACCTGCACCTCCGCAGCAGCGCCAGGAGCAGCCATGTCTTCTGAAAGAAAAACGGCCGGGACACGGGAGCAATATCCGAATTTTAGGGATGCCGTCCTCGCCCTGTGCGTGCGCAGGTATATAAAGAGGAGCGCGCGCACGTAGCCTCACCAGTGATCAAACCAGCGCTTCGGTGATCTCCGTCCACGCGCGTACGCTACACGTAGTAGCTGACGAACAAATCCGTCATTTGTCTCGTCACTCCCCTGCCGGGATGGCCGGATGCGCGCATGAATACGGCTAAACATGCGAATGATGTCATCTTTGACATCAGCTGGCAAACGGCCGGGCGGTAAAAAAGACTATTACTGCTAGACAACTGGCCCAGAGGCATATGCATCTGGAAGGGACGGTTAGGTGCAAGTAAACTGATTTTCGTTTTTAGGTCAGTCGATTTACTCCGGTATCTGCATGCATCCAGCATCCTCTTTTTCCTTTGCGGGAACATGCATCCAGCTTCCTACTCGAGCGTACCTATCTACTACCTGCTCACTTTCACCCAGCTAAACCCTGCAAAAACTTGACCCGCAAAATGCGTTTACAGTTTCACGAAAATCACGTTTGCGGGTCGAAAACTAGCGCGGCCGAACAGATACTGTAAAACAAACTGTAAATCTAGAATAAAGAGCTCCTTCCTCAAGTCCGGCCGTTGCCGCCCCTTCCTCCAGCCGGCCGCGCCCAACCCCGTCGGCCACAGACCATGCCACGTCGCCCGTCTGCCGCGCCCCATCGCCCATCGATCGCGCCCCGTCCCTGCCGGTCACGCCCCATCACCGCGCCGGTCACGCCCAGCCTCGCCGGCCACGCCCCGTCGCCTCCGTCGTCCGCGCCCAGCCTTGCCGGCCACGCCCCGTCGCCTCCGTCGTCCGTGCCTTGCTCTATTGTCAGGCGTGCCCCTTTGCCTGCCACGTCGGGAGGATTCCGGCGGCCAGGCTGAGGTCATGGGAGGCCATGACGATGTCCAGCTCGTCCAATTCGAACCGGCGGCGATCGATTGCGGCGTCTAGCGGCCTTTTTTGATGTGCCGTGATGAATTCCGGCGAGTTTAGGGCAGATTCCGGCAAACTCCGCGGCGGCGTGTTTGCTCCGACGATGTTTGATCGGTATACGGGGCCCCCTATATTCGGCCCTCCAACCTCCAAAGATAAGGGTTTCGGGAGTGCATTTGCAGTGGCGCTTAAAATTTTTACGGGTTGGACTACTTTTACGGTTTCTGTTCTGGATACTTTTTTCGCCCAAAACTGTAAAACGAAATTTTTTTGCGGGTTTGACCACTTATACGGGTTCGCTAGAGATGCTGTCACACGCATGCATGCATTTCTTTCTTCTTGTGTCTGGACGTATGTACCGTATCTCTTTTTTTAGATGAAACTGTAGTTATCTAATCTTATTCTCATGGTGGTAGTCATACATACGCAACGTAATCCAATTCTCCTAAGGTTTCAAGCGGCAATCATGCACATCCCTATTCAATCGAGGCTAAAATAAAAATAAAGTTTTCTAACAAATAATCAATTAGTGGCATTGGTACTACCCTTTAAGAAAAAAGAAAATGAAAATCAAATAATGATAAATTTTGCATACAATTCACACAAAAATTGGCCTTTTCATAATATGCAATGATAAGCATATAATAGTGGGATTTCACAAAATAAAAGTAATTTCCTAAGAAGGCAAAAAATAGTGCATTGATATTACCCTTAAAAAAAGAAATAAAACAAAATAGAAAATACAAATAAATTAAAACAATTAAATTTTCTAAGAAAAAATGAATTAGTGGTATTGGTATTACCCTTGAAAAAATGGAAAAGATATTAAAACAAATAATGGCAATTTTTTCACACAATTCACACATAAATTATGATTATTTCAAAATGTTCAAGAATAAACATGTGATAGTGAAATTTCACAAAAATGAAAATTCCTAAGAAGGAATGAATTAGTTGCATTTGTATTATAGTTAAACAAAAATAAAATGAAAATGAAATTAAAACTAAAACAAAGTAAAAATATTGAAGTTTTCTAGGGAAGAATAAATTAATGACATTGGTATTAGCCTTGAAGAGGAAACAAAATGAAATCATTAAAACAAATAATTGCAAATTTGTGCTAAATTTGAGATTATGTTTTTATAATATGCGAAAAGAAGCCTACAATAGTTATTTTTCACAAAGGGATGAATTAGTGGTATTGATATTACCATTAATGAAAAAAATAAATGAAACAAAAGTAGAACAAAATAAAATAATGAAGTTTTTTAAGAAAGAATGAACTAGTGCCTTTGGTATTACTCTTTAAGAAGAAATAAAATGAAATGAAAACAAACAAATAATAACATTTTCTCACAATGAACTAGTGACATTGTTATTACCCATTAAGAAGAAATAAGATGAAACAAAAACTAAAACAAAATCATAATAATGAAGTTTTCTATGGAGGAATGAACTGGTGGCACTGGTGGCATTAGTATTACCCTTTAAGAAGAAATAAAATGAAAAAAAACATTAAACACATAATGACAAAGTTTGCACACAATTTACACAAAAAAATATACACTTTTTATAAAGTGCAAGAATAAGCATATAATAGTGGGATTTCGGAAGAAAAAAAGAAGTTCCCTAAGAAGGAATGAATTAGTGGCAATGATATTACCCATAAAGAAGAAGAAAAATAAAGGAAATACTATAAAACTAAAGTGGTAGAATTAATCAATGGCATTGGTATCACCCTGTAAGAAGAAAGAAACTTAAAATATATTAAGCAAGTAATGACCAAATTTGCACACAATTTACACATAAATTGGTCTTTTTTAGCATATGCAAGCATAAGCATATAATGATAGGATTTCAGAAAAAAATAGGTTCCCTAAGAAGGAATGAACTAGTGGCAATGATATTACCCATAAAGAAGAAAGAAAATGAAACATAAAGTAAAAAAATAAAAGACGTAGACTGAATTACTTGCATTGGTATTACCCTTTAAGAAGAACGAGAATTAAAAAAACTTGCACACAACTTCACATGTTTTAAATATGAAAGAAATACACATATAGCGGTGCAATTTTCACACTATAGTATAATACTATAATTTATAACATTTTATATAGTATTTCCATGTATACATTTTACCCCAACATCCTAATAATACCCATAAAAGCGACTAAAACAAAAAAAAGAAAGCAAAAATGCATACAAACAGAAAAAGTGAAGCACAACAGGCAACCCGAAATGGGCTTCAGCCCAAGAAGAAATCGACTGATCCAAAATAGTGGTAGGTCAAAATTTGGGCCCAAAACACCATATTAGCCACAACAGAAAAAAACAAAGAGCATAAATCTTGAGGCACAAATCAACGGACCAAAAAAATTGACTGGCCCAAATTAGATATTCATGCAACTTACATATAGCTAAATTGCATCTGAAAATGCCTCCTTTTACTAGTTTCGTTGATCCATGAAAGAGAACACCAAAGTTTGGTGTCAACCCACACATTTATAAACAGGTACTCACACTGGAAAGTAATATAAGAACTCTTATATTTCTTTACAGAGGGAGTACCTTTCTAACCTTGAGATTGCACTACCGGTACACCCATCCCAAGTGGCGCGGAAAGCCCTTGGTCACGTGAGAACATGGATACCTCCACCTTTGGGCAATTGCAAGATCAATGTGCGGGCCTCTATTAGGACGCACATTTAGACGAGAGCTATTAGTGTTGTTTGTCACAATAATGCAAGATCATATGTTGGTTCTTCAACTCTTGTTTTTCATGGACTGACTGATCCAACAACTCTAGAGCCTCTTGCCTACCGTGAACCCTCACGTTGGCCAAGGACCTCATGTTACAATGTAGCAGGGTAGCATCAGACTGCAAAATGGTTATCTTGGATATCAATACTAACACTCTTGGGGTCATTGCACCAACCATGAAGGAGATAAATGAGACTGCAAAGAATTTTCAAACCTTCCCTTTCGTTCCTAAATACTGCCTCTTGAATATGGAGGGACACAATTTAGCTAAACATCCTTTTCACTTAGACGAGGGTCACCATCTATGGCTCCTACACCCTCATGACTCTTCTGAAAGGATCGATATGGTTGACTAGAGGGGGGGGGGGGTGAATAGGCAACTACCAATTTTTAACTTTTCTTAACAAATTAGGGTTAGCAACAAATAGGTTGTCTAGATATGCAACTAGGTGAGCAACCTATATGATGTTAGCAACACAAGCAAGTAAAGGATACACAACAAGTAAAGCTTGCACAAAGTAAAGATAAGAGATAACCACAATTGGAGTCGGTGGAGACGAGGATGTGTTATCGAAGTTCCTTCCCTTTGAGGGGAAGTAAGTCTCCGTTGGAGTGGTGTGGAGGCACAATGCTCCCCAAGAAGCCACTAGGGCCACCGTATTCTCCTCACGCCCTCACACAATGCGAGATGCCATGATTCCACTACTGATGCCCTTGAAGGCGGCAACTGGACCTTTACAAACAAGGATGGGGCTCTCTCCACAACTGAATTGGAGGATTCCAACAACACCATGAAGCTTAACCACAATGGAATGTGGCTGTGACCTCAACCTTCTAGGGTGCTCAAACACCCACGAGTAACAAGTTCCGCAAGGAATTAGTTGGGGGAATCAAATTTCTCTGGGTGGAAGTGTAGATCTAGGCCTTCTCAAGCAATCCCTAAAGAATCAACAAGTTTGATTGGCTAGGGAGAGAGACCGGGCAAGAATGAGCTTGTGAGCAACAATGGAGCTTAGGGGAGGAAGAGGTAGTCAACTAGAAGAAAGATGACTCCCTTTTATAGTGGGAAGAAGAATCCAACCATTATGCTCCCACAACCCGAGCATAAGCGGTAGTACCGCTCAGATGAGCGGTACTTCCGTTGGCATAGAAATGCCGGCTACCTAGTTCATTTTGAGCAGATTAGAGGAACGGTAGTGCCGCCTAAGCGGTACTACCGCGCCCTCCAGTGGTACTACCGCGTGGAG